TTCCGCAGCTGCAATGTCGCTCAATTAATGCGGCTTCAGCGGCACACGAGAATTCAATCTTTGTCGATTACCCTGCTCGACGACTCTATTCGAGAATTCTTCGCGCGTTCTTTTCTCGGGCAGTATGCGCGCGAACGTTATCCGAATGTTCAACGAGCCGTGAACAAATTGGCGTTGACCTATACTTCTTTGTATTTTTCTTCTCCGCCAAAGTCGAAATCCTTGACATTACGCAAGCCGACGCACACACGCGAAGTCTTTGTTTCCCTAGCTCGAAGAGAGAAAGAGAGAGAGAGAGAGAGAGAGAGAGAGAGAGAGAGAGAGAGAGAGAGAGAGAGAGAGAGAGAGAGAGAGAGAGAGAAAGAGAGATAAAAGGAGTCGCACGTTCTCACGCTTGTAGATGAACTATTAGCGTTTTAATAGCCTGTCGCGCGGCGTTAATCAGAACGCGATAAATGGAAGCATCACGACACTGTATCAAGGAAAAACACTCACACACACCCATTGTGCAGACGTGTGAATACATATATATGTATGTATGCGAGATGGAAAATCGATGCGACGCAGCCACCGGACAAAATTCGACTAAGGCAAAAGCAGGCCGAGAAAGACATAGAGAGAGAAAGAGAGAGAGAGAGAGAGAGAGAGAACAGCTGATTAAGACTCTTTAGTGTGCGTGTGTGTGCCAGTTGCGTAATTTATTCTTAGATCGGCCGATGCGCCGACGGCGATGACTTTAATTTCGGGCGAGCGAAGCGACGACGAACTTTTCTGCTCGTTCGATAAACACGCTCTTTTTTTCTTGACCTGATTGGTCGAGAAAATCCCTAACATTCGGAATTTCAATAACCGCTCTCTGAAGTGGAATATTTTTACGCGACGAGTGCGTACAAAGGATTATTTTTAAAAGCACCATTGCACTGGCAAATACACATAAAAATGACTATTGTTCTACTTTTTAATCGAGCGTCCGGTAGAACGAGGAAAGAAATACTATTGGCCGACACTGATAAATGTGTTTCGTTAATGAGGTATTCTGTGGCGAGTCTCGTTATAAATTTCACCGACCGACGTCTCGTTGAGAAAAAAAAGTGGCAGTTTATATATCCTTCATTAAATTTATTTAGACGGCGCAACTTGACAAAGTATATGCGGAGTCCGGCTATATTAATCGATTGCGCTCATCAGTCACCGTGGGATAATATTTTTCATATAATCCAGAGTTGCGCTAGATTTAAAATAATCAGCGCTGCAGAGCGCATCGATTTGTCATCGACATACATTCCTGGAAAATCGTCTGGAATGGATACCGTGAAACAATTTTTATAATCGCCGATTATTCAAAAGGCAAGACAAAACGAAAAGTTGATCTTGCCGGCATTCCTCCCGATCGAAAGGGGAAAAAAATAAACGAGCGCCTATCCGCGTTTCACACCGAACCACAGGAGTCCCACCCGCATCTCTGTCAGTTTGGAAGAAGCAACCGTTACATTCCACCCGCGATGATTCAGAAACGTGTTGCTCGACGACGACGGCGCGACGCAGTTACGCAAGCCGCGTGCGTCGTAACGCGCGGCGGAGTCCGATGTAGGCTAGCGGCCGAAAATACACAGCACCCATGCGGCGTTGAATAACCGCGCGGGGCCATTGGTTGCACGTCGAGCGGCGAGAGCTCGAGATACCCGGCCGCGCACGCGCGCAACACCTTCGTCGACGCGGCAGCCGACGAGAGTGCAGCCCGCGCGCACGTGCGCGAGCAAAGCCTCGCGAGTGCGCGCGACTCGTGCCAGGTGATCTCGCCTTGCGCACTCTCGCGCGCGACAATCCGCGATTGGCGCCGCGTCCCGGTCGAGCGAAACAGCGCGAAACAGCGCGAAACGGAGCTCTACGCCGACTCGCCGCGCGCGTCGGAAATAGCCGTGGCAGAACGCGCATCGCCCAATGCTACGTGCTACGAAACACGCGGAGTCGGCTCGCTCGCGGGCTCTAATATTAGTGACCTCGATTCCTAATCACCGCAACGCTGGTCCCGCCCGCGACGATCCTTCGCAAGTTCAATGCGACTGCGGCGCGAAAAAAGGAGCGAGCGAGTGAAAAATTCAGCCGCCGGGCTGGCCGGCATCAAAGACAAACGAGAGCGTGCCAATTAGAAATTCAGAGCTTCGGAGCGGCGCTGGGCACCCCACGCTCGCCACGTGTCAGTGGGTCAAGGGTGTGTGCTTTGGTGTCAACTGCGAAAGCTGCGCTCTCGACCGCGCGGCTTATTCATCGAGAGATCGACTCGGCGCAAGATGCATTCTCTCTTTGTCTCTCTCGGGGAGCGGATTTTTCGTGAGCGTGCGTGTACGCGGAGGAAGAACCGGTTTCCGAGAGAACCGGACCCCTTTGTGCTCCGCTGCTGCTGCTGCTGTTGCTGCGCTGCTGATGCTGCTCCCGCTGCAGCGCGCGTCGCACGCAGATGCGCGTACGTTTGGGCAAAATCGAAGGATCTCCGGGCGCGATCGATCGAGCGATGCTTACCAGAATGTCGCGCAGGGAGACTGGCATGACGGAGCACGTCGACATCACTCGCGCACGCAGATAGGACGACGCCGCGCGCAGGCGAGAATTCCGACTCGGCGGAACGAGCTGTCCGTACAACTGCCGAGCTCTCCCGCTCGAGTTCCACTGGCGGGCGCGAGACAGAAGCTATATTAAATTAGCCCGCGAGCAACCACCACCTCTACCACCACCACCACCATCTCCGCCGTATAATCCAATATGCCGAGCGACGCCGCGAACTGCCCACACTCGCGCGCTCGCGATCGCGCTCGGTTTCTTCCTTCCTTTCTGTCCCCTTTTTTTCAATGGGGATCGTTTGGAATCGCGCATTCCCGTGACGACCCGATGACGAGCGCCACGACCGGCGAATGTGCCTCGCGTGGCACGGCGCGACAGAGATCCGCCGCGGAGAGTTCGCGAGCGAACGACGTCGTCGCGCAAGAAAAGGCACTGGCGGACGCGTACGTGCCTTGGCGCGTGATCAGGCGAGCGGCGCCGACGAGCTCGTCGTCAAAAGAAAAAGAGCAGCGGCAGCAGCGGCAGCAGCGGGCGCGCCGTGCGAGGCGCCCGCGCGATCGATTTTTCGGCGGCTCTCGCGTGTGTCCATTGACCTCGATTCTACATCACGCGAGAGAAGACGCCGTTGCACCCGCGCGCGCACTCGCACAATGCAACCTCGGCCGGCTTTTGTCTCGCTGCTGCATTCGCAGCGTCTCGACGCTAACTGATCTTGTCTCCTGGCTCGCTTCTACAGCGAGAGAGAGAGAGAGAGAGAGAGAGAGTGAGAGAAAGAGAAGCCGAGTGCGTACTTGTGCGAACGACCTTGCTCGCAGGAAGTTCAACCTGCGCCGCCGCGTATCGTTGTGCGCCGGCGACGCGTCATCGCGATGCTCGATTCCAGCTGTTCGCTGGCCCGCATTTGCGACCGATAGTTCGTCGATTGCGCGCTAGCGCTCGCAAGTTACCGACGTTTTTCTCCTGAGCGGTCGTTGCGTTAGCGGGCAACCGCGAAAACAAAGAGAGAGAAAGAGAGAGAAAGAGAGAGAAAGAGAGAGAAAGAGAGAGAGAGAGGGAAGCCCGAAAGTCGTGGGTGGAAATCCCTTAACCGAGATAAGGCTAGCGGCGCGCGCATATACCGATCGATCTAAATGGACTTTCCATTCGTAGGTCACGTTGTTCGATTCAATCTCAACTGCTGCTGCTACCGCTTTGTTTTTGCTCCTCGATTGATTCGCTATCGTACACACGTACACGTATGCCCGCGCAGCGCTGTTCAGGAGAATAAATGTATTAATTGAAGCGGCCATTGGGAAACGTCGTTTCGATGCACGCGCGCCCCTTGCCTAATGGATCTCGTTGCGATTCATTAGTTACAACTATCTACCGCCGCGACGACCGACTATTCTTCGCGTCTCTTCATATCGACCCGAAAATTCGACGCGGGATCCTCGTCGGACGCGATATTACAGTGGGACATGTGTGTTTCGCGTTGAACGATTGTCTATGCGCGAACAAAGCTAATAGACCTTGCCTAATGGGGTGCATGCGCGCATCTGCTCGACTGACGATAATTGTATCGGGTCGGAATGTGCGTCGACGGACGCATCGTTTTATGCGAAATCATCGCGTCGACGACGTCGCTTCCGGAGAACATTTGCATGGTGGCTCCGTGGCTTGAATCATCGAAACGAGCGGAACTGCCGCGTAAAAAAAATTTTGCGCGCCTCGACGACGCATAAATCTTGGCGCTGAAAAAAATCGTCGTGCACACGTCGGCGTAATAGTCAATTAACAATGCGCTTGACACGAGTTTCACATAGCCATTGCACCCGTACGTAATAAAATGCCTATTAAAGCCCATCGCAGCATATTATGTAAATGTAGAGTTGCTCGATCGACGATATATCTGTCGTTCTCTACCGAGTTCCCTTTCGTTTTTCCCCGCTCTCTCTCTCACTCTTAAAAGTCGTTGTCAATTAGCGGAAGAAAGGATATACTGCTACCAAGAATGAAAAAAATTCAGATCCTTGGTAGTCGTAAGTTGCGTGTGCGCGTATGTATGACGGGCTAATTGCTAGCAAGACCTCGCGCGTGTACGAGGCTACTTTTACGAAATGGTGCGTGAATTACGCGTTTTCATATTTCAGCTGTCTGCCTCTCGCGTGTGCGTACTATTGAACTTGACACATTACTCGCAGCTAAAAGTGGAACACGCGAGATAGAGAGACCTCACTGTCAATCATTCGCCAAATTTTCCATTTCCCCGTGTCCGTATCTATCTTCGGGGGTTGGGGGGAGGGAGGTCAATCTGCGACAACGAGGCCGAAGCATTCGTAGCTCTGCTAGACCGGTATTATTATTACGAGCGGAGCGGTAAGCATGTTTGTCGAAAGCCACGAGAGCTCGCTCTTTTCTTCCTCGAGTGTTTGTTGGCTTACCGCTCGGTTCTTGTGATGCAAAGTGTGATGATGGTGATGATGAAGAAGATGGTATCTCTTCTCCTTGGCCGTGTGCTTGCTGTGGTGTCGACTGGCTCTGTGTGGCGGGTAGGTATGGTAAATCATGTTGACGCCGATGCAAGCTTGACGTCACCTCACCTCGGCGATAGCACACTTGTTGTTGCCAGCGGCGCTTGGCCCGGCGCTCGCGCCGTTATTCTTCTTGGCGACGCCGCCGCCACTGCCGCTATCCGCCGTCGTCGCCGGCGTCGCCGGCGTCGCGTTGGTCGTGGCCGTCGTGATGGGCGCCGTCGTCGACGGCGGATCGGCAAAATGAGCTGGCACGAGATTCACGCTCAAGCCCAGCGGCGTCACCGTGGTCGCCGGGTCGAGTTTCACAAGCGCGGCTTGCAACTCCAACGCGTCCATGTTTCATGCACTCCCGCACTGTCCACTACTTTTCCTGGCTTCTCCGCTCCTCGCGCGACTCTACCGCGAGCACAAACAACCACAAGGATTGACTTTCCGCGTCACTCTCGACGGGTGCGTCGACGATTATTTATGCGTCGCAGTGCAAACTCCAACTTTTCCAATTAAGTGCGGGGCAGGTGGGGAGGGGGAGGGGGCGAAGAGGGTGGACGATAGGTAACTCCCGCGCGACCTATTGTTCGCCACTCCGCGCGCCCGCCCGACCGACCGACAATTGCCGGCTAACTGCTGCTACTGCGATGCTATCGCGGATCAATTTTTAATCGACTGACCAACTGCTGCACAGGAAACACAGAACATTAGAGAGCATCCGACTACCATTCCTTCTTTTTCGAACTTGTCGATGAACAAGCCAACTGGAAAGTAGCGATCGTTCGCTCGACGCGTTTTCAGTGCGGATTTCGACGAAAATAAAGGCCGATCGGAAGGCCGGAAAAAACGAGGATTACTTTCAGACGAAAATAAAGCTTTCCACGGTGGCGTGACAATTGTTCAACCTTGCGACTTTTCCTTTCGTCTTAATTGAATATTGTCAAGTTGGCTATTATGCGCGCGCGCGCGCGCGTCAGTGACGGTCGATTAAGAAACACACGCAGAAAAAAGGAAAATAATTGAAAGCTCGCATGACCACAATAATGAGAGAACCACTTATTCCCCATCGCAGTTGGCTCGCAATTATCGCGCTCCGCGGTAGCCGAAGCAACATCGACCTTTCATTAGCGCGAAAAACTGGTTTTGGCGCGTTGCTCGCGCGATCGAGAAAATGTCATTCTCGGAGAACGGATGCTAATAACCGTCGCGTGTGCAACACACAATTCCTTCCCTTCCTTCTCATTGTGCTCGCGCGATCGCGCGCACCAAATCAGTCCGCTGTCCGGCACTTGTCGCTTTGTTCGCGTCCGATTATTCATCGGTACGCGACGCCAACGTTTGCGCTTTCCGGGAATAAAAAATACGCTTTTTTTTCTCGAAGTGGGTTGCCGGTGAAAGCGAACACGCGGGAAAGAAGAACGAAGCACCGAGCAATTAAAGCCACTTAAACCCGAATCGCTAATTCTCCGAAAGGATGCGATACAACGTTGTCGCGTCAGCCCACGCGTCTCTCCTTGTCGTCGTCTCGAGAGATAAGCCGTTGCGGCCGTTTTTGGCAGTGGCTCTCTCTCTCTCCCTCTCTCTCTCTTTTGTCGAAAGATCGATCGTCACGAGCTTCAAGAACACTACTAGGCTTGTTGTCTCAAGGATATACTGTTAGCCACTTGATAATCCAAGCGAATATCGCGCTTTTTTGCGGCGATAATCGAGACAAACGGAAAAACTTTGGATCAAAGACGAGACGACCGTGCGCATCCCCCCTCGCTGTTTTTCGACGAGAAAGAAAATTCGAGCCTAGCTACGAAAAGGATCGGCTGAAGAGAGCTGCAACATTGAATAGTGGCGCGTGTGGAGCCCGTTGTAATTTCAAAAAGGACTTTCCGACGTCGCCAGATTTAATTTCTCACGTAGTGCTAACCAGATTCAACGCCCGTGCCGCGCGAAACTTTACGTGGTGCGAATTAAAAGGCGAGCAGCTTCGTTCGTAAAATTTGCAAGCGGCCAAGTTTGTCGTACGCAAAGTTGTCTTCCACACCCACCGGATAGGAAGGGAAGAGCTGTCGGAACGGGAAAGGCGAAATCCAGGAGCGGCGATGAGAATTCCGCTGCGGAGAAGGACGCAGCGTCGTTTTCCCCAGCACTCTCCTGCTGGCACTGCGACGCACAAACAACAACAACGACAACAAATCCCCCCACCCCGTGGGTATCAATGGTAAAACGTACCAAATGCACAACGATGTGGCTCGCTCTCCGATTGAACTCGATCGTTTTACGAATGACTCATCGAAAGTCGGCGAGAGAGACGAGGACAGAGAACCTGTGGCACGCCGATGAGAGCAGTTATATTCGCATAGATCCCGGACGAGGGTGTAGCACGACTGAGAAGCGAGGCACGCAAGAGAGAGGCTTGTGTGGCGGTGGCGGCTGGACCAATGTGTGTGTGTGTCTGTCTGTCGAGGGGGTGGGGGTGGGTGCGCGGGATCAATATGAGGTCGTCGCAGGTCCTGCGCGTACAGCATCCCCCCCAAACTCTCCTCGGCGTTGCTAAGCCCTCCAACTCGCGCGCCCGCGCACGACCTTGTCTCCATTTCCGACCGAAGCCAGCTTGCCTCGTATTTTTCGTGCCCATGTCTCGGCGACTTGGCCCTTTTTTCGGCCATAATAATCGTGACTCCTTCCACGCGCCCCGCTCATCTATCTCGGACGCTTCGATTTCAGGCCTGTCCGGCAGAGACGCCTCTCTTTTTCTCTCCGAATGTCGACATCGTGGTGTGTCATTCATCTTGCGAGCCTACGCCTCGGGTATTTTCCGAAGTTAACCAGCCTTTCAATGAAGCCGTTTCGGAAAAGCGGCTCGGCAAGGAGTTACACCTGCGGGTGTCATCTCTCGGGAGAGGATGAGTCGTCGGTCGGGTAGGCAACTGCCCGTCGGTACGCGCGACCGCAGCAGTCTGCCGTGCCGACGAGGCTCGGGTGCATGCAGATGGCGCGTGCCGCCTTACGCACACGGACGTCGGGCATTACATTGTTCCAATTGTACAATTGGTAAACAAGCCGTTTGCAGGTAGTACGCGCAGGCTCATTCATCCGCACTCGTTAGCACTCGCGAACAACGCACACCCGCACGCACACACAGAGGCTCTCGCAGCTACTTAGGCCTTTGACACATGATCAATCACTCGTTAAATTACCCTCGTCAAACACTGCCATTACGGTGCAGCGGCCCCATGATGATATTCTTAGAGAGCGTTGTCGTTGAGCGACTCAATCGCAACCGCTTTGCTGAAGCTTCAACTCCTCTTTTTGCAGTCTTTGAGAGAGTGCATTCCACTTTTGTGGTATATGTGTGCGTGCGCCCCCACGCCGAAAATTTAGCGCTTTGTTTGAGATGGTTGAGAGAGAGGAGATTCCGGTCCGGGTTCAGAGTCGAATTTCACGGTGACGAAAGCGTTTGGGAGGGAGATAAAAAAAACACGATACGTGCTGCGGGACTGCACTTTCTTCAAGCGAGTTTAGTCTTCTATTCATCATCTTCGACGAGATTACATTGTGTGGAGAGAGAGAGAGAGAGAGAGAGAGAGAGAGAGAGAGAGAGAGAGAGAGAGCGAGTCATTCAACGTGCCCATCGATGTTTCCTCTCGTCGCGTTACGTATTATTGAAAACGAAGTGTATTCAGGAAAGTTACCGAGGGACGACAAAATGAATTCTTCCATGACCAAAAAAAATATATCTTCCCGATTCATTCGTGCCTCCCTCACTCTCCTTTCGGACTATCGGAAACAACGATTTCCATTGGGATAAAAGATTGTCCCCCATCGTTAAATTGCACGAAAACGAGGGAACTGTCGATTGCTTATTTTCCCGAGGAAGATTAAAAGAAAAGAAAAAAAAACACGAGCTGCTCGGTATCTCTCTTTCACTCGGTTGCGCGGCGACGGTAAATCGTCGAGAGACGCCGTTTGTCGAGCGGCAGCAAGCAGCAGCGCCCATGAGAAAAGCAGCCAAGAAGGCAGCACAACAAAGGAAAGAGTTAATCTTCGGCGCGAGTGCGTGGCGGCGCTGGAATTAGATCGGAACTAGGCCCTTTCGAAACCGCCTCGCTCGCTCGTTTCGTTCTCCATTATGAGCCTACCGAGAAAATCAGACAGACACGACGCTTCCGCCGCGCTTAACCGCTATGTTTGTTGTATACCTACGAAAAGCACACAGTTACTGGCTGACCTTGCGATATCGCCAAAAAAGAAAGAAGAAAAAAAGAAAAAAAAAGAGGGAACTTTCTGTTCGGCGCAGCGCCATTTCTTTTGCTTCGCAATCGATAATGCGGCAATGCGACGTTTATTGTCATCTCTTCTTTCCGCGGCTCGCTTTGCCTATCAATTATGCACGAATCTATATTGGAGAGTATCGTTGCCTCGCGTGAGCTTGTTTAACAACCGATCGATATCCCTTAACGAATTCCTTTATCAGATCGCTTATAAGCTTTCCATTATTGCTCGCTCGGATTGACCATTAAGTGTTCTTTAATAACGAATCTCGCGATTACTCAATGTCAGGTACAAAGAGACTGAGCTATTGTGTTTCATTGATTGAACGACGAAAAAGAAAGCGACTTGCAGCGTTTAGCGTAACCTTCGACGATCGACAGTCGATCTAAATATTAAAATCTCTTTTATCGCTGAAAATCGTGCGCCCGAACAATGTAATTGCCGAGTCGTTTCGGCACGATAAAACTGCGCGACTCGGCCGTAATGGCAAATAGATTACCTCGCGCGCAAAAAAGGATTGTATTTACATAATGTCTAAAATAAACGACAATTACGAAAAGTACTGCTATGCCGCAGTCGCGCGCACTTAAAAAGCAACATATCATAATCTCCGATTACTAGTTTCGCAGCCTGTGCTTTGAATTATGACGTCGTACACATTGAAATCTCGGCTCGCGCGCGCGCGCGCGCGTGGGGATAAAACGAAAATTTACACCTCTGCACTTGTAGCCCGCGCGCGCGAGTGCGTCTCATATCGATAAATAACGTCTCGGGGCGCCGTAAAACGCAAGTGAAATTCGAATCCATCAATACCGGCAAATTACTTCCCACACACGTGCGCGGCGACGACGACAACGACGACGACGACGTAGACGTAGACGGGTTACGAAACAAACCGCGCAGACCCATAAACAACGCACTTTCCCGCTCGGGGACACACGGATAGACGCACACGGCCGCTGCGGCGATAGAGTAGAGAATCTATCATTCGTCCTCGCATCATCCCGAAAATTCGTTGGAGACCGAGATCCGGATCGCGAGATACTGCTACGCATACCTGCCTATATGCGCCCGAGAATGGACGAGAGTAGCGTGGCGCTGAGCCCGAATACTAAATGCTCGATGGGTCCGTTTCGAGAACTGGAATTCAGAGACGACGAGCTGCGAGTACGAGAAATCGGCCGGCGACTCTATTTACGTAAAACTCGCGCGCACGTCGATTCACTAGCGTTGCAGTTGCCTGGGCCACGACACGACGCCTACCAGTTGCCACCCTTTTTTGCGTCCTCACTTTTAGAAGTCACGACCCCCACCAAGAATAGAGACGCGCACACGTGTACGACGACTCCTTCGTTCCAGACGCCTTCATTCTGTCGTCAAGGTGAGCTATTATCCTCTTGTACGACCTGCCGCCCCTCTCACGGCACCGAATTGCCCAAAGTTAGATGAATTAAGGGGAGACGTCTTTCCAGTATATTTCCAGAAGAAAAAAAGAAGGAAAAAGAGAATAGAAAAATAATGAAGACTTGATGAGGTTTTGAAAGGTTTCTCTCTCTGACTGTCTCTCTCTCTCTCTCTCTCTCTCGCTCTCTCTCTCTTTTGGATGAGTTATAAATTTGAATTAAGGAGCTGCTGCTATTACTGCACGCAGCCAACTTATTCAATTTCAGACAAAGAATGCATCGAGAGACGACGAAGAGAGGGATTATATTGTATTCAAACATTTTCCTTTATTCCTTTACATACGAGAGAGAGAGAGAGAGAGAGAGAGAGATGATTAATTCTCAGAGTTTTATTGTGCAGCAGATGCAAATCACCGCTATGCGTTATAATTGGATTTTCGAAATGTTTTCACACTCTGATTAACATAACGGACGAGTCTTCACTAAAAAAACTCGCCTTTTTCTTTCTTGTTGTCATTTCAAACTGCTGTCATTTTTCATCAAACACTTTAAGTCTAATTAAGACAAATGCTCTTTCTCGAAAGCTTCTTCTGTTGATAACGTAAAAGCTTTGAAAAGCCCCTCCCCCCCTTGGTTTCGAATTACTCAGATGGTAACAGAATTTTTTTCTTTTCCTTCGTTGTCTGAAAACCTTTCGGCCACGCGTTGCGCGCGACCGTGCATCACTCAGGCGCGCGCGCGCGCACACACGCACACGCACACGCTCACGCACACGCACACGCACACGCACGCGCACACGCACGCACACGCACGCACGCACGCATGCACGCACGCACGCACGCACGCACGCACACACGCACACACACACACACACACTAATAAAAGCCTGCGAGAGCGAAAGAGCTTAAGGACAACTCACCTCGTGCAACGACCTCTGCTGCATACCGGACCAGCACATCCTGCATCGGCAGAGTTCGCGTTCGCGGGCGCTCTCGACCCAATCCCTGTCGATCTTCTCGCGGGTGCTGAGCTGCGGCGGCGGCGGCGGTACCGGCGGTGGCAGCGGACTGGCGGCGACTTCCAAGCTGTCCGAGCTGGAGTTGTGCCGTCGCGGTGGCGTTATATTGGTCGTCGCCGCAGAGTTGCCGATCTGCTGTCGCGCGTACGGCGACGACAGATAGAGGTCGATCGAATGCTTCGAGCTGCCGCCGCTGCCGCCTCCGCCGTTACACGGGGCCTGAACGTTGCCGTGGTGTTGATTGGTGTTGTTGTTGTTGTTTTTGTTGTTGTTATTGTTGTTACTGCTGCTGCTGCCGCCGCTACCGCCGTTGCTGCTTGCGGACTGTGGCTGCGGACGCAGAAAGTCGTCCAGCAGGTAGAAGCTCTGCGCTCTAGCAGTCGACCTTCTGTCCTTCGCCTCGTCCTCTTCGAGTTCGGGCTCCTCCGCCGGGAAAAGACGACGTCTGCTGTTCGTCGGCTCCTCGAAGGTCGTCGGCTGGTAGGCTCGGCCGACGCTCGGACTCGCGGGTGCGTTGCTGCGCAGCAACGCCCCCAGGGATCTCCACTTGCGATCCTGCGCGGTGCTGCTGCCGGACGAGTTGGCCTGCGGCGTGGTCCACTTGACGGCGCGCTGCTTCTCGGACGGCCACTTGCTATCGCTGGCAGGCCAACGACGCTCCTGCGTGGGCGAGGTGGCGGCCGTCGCGATCAACTTGCTCGTCGCAGCCAGATTGTCTTCCCGCTGCTTGCTCTTCCACCAGGACGACGTCGAAGCGGTAAAGAGTATGAGGCCGCCACGACGACGTCTACCAGGTACCAACGCTCTCGGGTAGCCCCCCGCGCTCTCGGGACTGTGGTACTGGGCGCCCTCGTGGTAGCTGGCGCTCATCTCGCTCGCGGGCGTCGGGTACGATGACGACGAGGTGCTCTTCGACATGAGGTCTTGTTGTTGCTGTTGCTGCTGCTGTTGTTGCTGCTGTTGCTGCTGTTGCTGCTGTTGCTGCTGATGCTGCTGATACTGTTGCTGGTGAACGTCGTCAGCTCTCAACAGAATGGCGTTGGTGCTACGCAGCCTCGGTCTCGACCTGACGAAGCCGTAATCGTTGCTGCCGGTGTCCAGGTAGACCGACATGTCGTTGTAGGCATTGTCGCGTGTTGCCGTCGACGACGACGATGACGACGAAGGTTGTAGAGTCGAGGTCTTCGACTGTAAAGTGTACTGATGCGAGGGCGGCGCCTGCGGACGACTTCCGCGCTGCAAACACGAGAAACTCGCAGAGTGTCGCAGACTTGACGAACCGCCGCCGCCGCCGCCACCGCCTCCGCCGCCGCCAGCAACGACGCCGCCTCCTCCGCCCGCTTGCTGCTGATGATGATGATGATGATGATGCTGCTGCTGATGCTGACTCACACCCAACATGCTGCTGCCCTTTCAGACTGTACTAGGTGAATCTTCTCTCAGCGTCATACTGCTGCGACTGATGACCGCTGCTGTTGCTGCTGCTACTGCTGGTGCTGTTGCTGCTGCTATTATTGCTGCTGCTGCTGCTGCTGCTGCTGCTGCTGCTGATGCTGCTGCTGCTGCTGCTGATGCTGCTGCTGCTGGTGCTGTTATGAAGCCGATTGTGCATCGCGTCACTCTGCAAACAAAAGCACAAGGCGAGGGTTGGGATTTTGTGCGAACTGAAAAAATAACGGTAAACAAAACTGCTAGAGCGACGAGGGTAATCGTGCGAAGTGCGCTACTGCCGCGTACGCTCCAGTTACAATGAAAATCGCTTATCGATTCTCGTTCATCCCGACAGATCCGTTTTTTCCGCGATCATTGACAAAGTAACCAGCGGCTTAAAGGCGAGCGTCTCGCGCGACAAGAAAACCATTAATTGTGCGACGTCCCTCGCGAGCAGGTCCGAGACAAGCGATTTCCATTTCAACGCGCTGCCGTAGCGTACAAGAGATGCGAAGCCCGACGATCGTGTTGTCCATCTCAATGAATATGAACTGCGGACGCCGGCTGCACCAGGGCTCGGACGACTCGTCGAAAAGTGATTTGCTACAATAAGAAGCTGCTTGATAAATCGGGATAGGGGCAAAACACAAGCATGCGTCGACAAATCCACAGGCACACTAGCGCGCGCGCGTGCGCGCGAGCTCTGGTTTTCGGGTGCAACAGGCGCGCGGTCAATGAATCACCGGCTTCCGCGATCGGGAGAGCACGTTTTCGCAGTGCGGCTGCGGGGCGAGAGCGAGGTGGAGGCGCACCTGGTAAAAGGCGCTTTTAGACACCTACACACGCGTGTATGCAAGGCCGCGCAGAGTCGACGACGGTTGCGCAAAGCCAGCGCGAGCAAAGCAGCCTAGTCTCTCTCTCTCTCTCTCTCTCTCTCTCTCTCTCTCTCTCTCTCTCTCTCTCTCTCTCTCTCTCTCTCTCTCTCTTTGTTGCTGCAACCTCTGCTTCGCATGCACTCTCTCCCGCGAGTGTACATGTGTGAAAGAGAGGATTACGAGAGCCTGATCGGTATTATGCGGCGGCAGTTTAGCTACCTGTCGGCGGCAAACGACGACGACGACGACGACGACGACGACGACGACGACGACGACCACCACGACCACCACCACCACCACCACCACCACCACGGGTAGTCACGTATCGCTGTCATAATAGAATGGAGCGAGCCACCGCCGATGTATAATTGAAGGATTAAATTTAGCGCCAGTCGTCTCGTTTCGGACGCGACCGCTAACGCGAAATGCACACGCTCGCGTAGATTTAATGAGAGAACACGCGCCAAATTACGGATTGATCGCTGATTTTCGTGCCGCCAGGCATCGGCCGGGGCACGAGCATCAGCCAATGTTGTACCATTCAATTATACGCGCGCGCAGCAGAGACATTCGCGCGCCTATGAATAATTCACAAAGCTCGGCAGTTTGTTTCGTTTTTTTCTTTTTCTTTTCTTTTTTTTTATTTATTTTTTTTTTTTGCGCGAAAACATATTATCAGCGATTCTTTTCTTGCACGCATGTACGCTGGGCCCGCATGATGCGTTAACAGTAAAAGCTCGGCATTTATGGTCATGACACCGTGTAAAACCTCAGCGTGACGCTACACGCGTAGCAGCTTTAATAGCAAAAGGCCTCTCGAGTCTACAGTCGAGTATCTCCTTATAAAACACAATAGTACGAGAGTATTGCTCAAACGTACGTACACACTGAGATTGGATACAAGCTACACGAAAGCCGGCCGATGATTCAGAGAACCCTGCGTAATTGAGAATTCGGCAAAAAGAAAGAAAGGGAAAAAAGTAACGCAGTAATAGTCGGACTTGCGCAGCTCGGATTTTCAGCTCTGGGTAATAGTCGGTGCTGCTCAAGCGGTCGGAACTAAACGCGCCGGAGAAAAAAATTGCTATCGACGGCGGAATGCATAACCGAATTAAGTTTTTCGGGATGTATCGATTGACGACGCATCGCGATGACGACGACGACGACCCGAGAACAAAGTCACGCAATGCAGAAATATTGAAGCTCCGTGCCACAGCGCGATATCGTTCGACCAACGAGGTCATTTCTACCGCTATATGAGAATCCCATCGAAGCTGAATATTTTTCGACTCTCGCATTGGTGCAAGATGGTTACTGCTGTTGCTTTCCATGCCGCCTATCCTGTATTTATTGTTGACGGGGGAAGGCCGCTGCTGGCTTTGCAACGAGTGGCGCTCCTTTTCTACAGTGTGTATCACAGATCGAGCTGTGATAGCGCTCCCGCGGTTACCTGTTCAAGCCGTGAGGGTCAATGAAGCACAGAGATAACGGTGAATTGGTTTTTTTTTTCGCGGAGAAACGATTGTGCGCGAATGATAGAGCGCCACACACATTTTTGATTACACTCGCGATCGAGTGCACAGCTCTCGTTGCATCGTTATTATACACGCCGAGCAGTCGTGCCTTCTAAAAGCAATCTTCGAAACGACACGTAAAAGCGATAAACAGCGCGACTTTGTTGTCGGTATTATTCACTCTACGCGTATTTTCATTGCCGGCAAGAGGTAAACGCGAATTATTCATGCTCTTTAACGATTTCGTTAATTGCAATGACGCCCGTTTAATATCCATCGTAATTTTTACCTGCAAACTATAAAACATTTTATCAGGCTGTACACACCATAATTAGCCTTGTCTGCGTTGCAAAGTGAATCAAAGGAGAAGGTATGAAACACAAATTTACTAGTTGTTCGTACGAATTTGAAAGCGACTGTTATGGCAAATTTAGTAATCACCTCATTAAAAAGTATGACTGAATATATATACATAATATACATACACACGCATGTGCATAAGCTTGCAAGGGGTAAAGTTGGCCAAGAAAGAGATTGTGGCACGAAGCGAAACATTGCCGAATAAAAAAAAAACAGACTTGCACAACCAGAGAAAAACCTATATTGTGACGTCGGCGCTTCGACTGTACACTCCACTCGTCAATAATTCTCGTCTTCGGCAGCGAAGCTAAGGCTATAGTTGCATGATAAATTCAGTAGCGGGAGGCTAGTGACCTTTGCATGTGCGTCTTGGCGGCCGCCGAACGTCCACGCGAGAGAGAAAGAGAGAAACAGGCGGCGTGCACGTCGGAGCAGGGGAGGAAAATAATTCACGAGCGGCGAAATCGATATTCGCGCGGCGCGCTGCTGTTGCCGCTGCGGCTTGTGTGGTGACACACACCTCCGCGAGATTCAGCAACTCACCGGTGCACACGCCTTTTACGATTATTGTTTTGCCATGCGTAAATGATGAGTTACTTAAGAAGCATTTAGGATAAAGTTTCCGTCTGTTTCTGCGCCTCGCTCTCTCTCTCTCTCTCTCTCTCTCTCTCTCTCTTTCTCTCTCTCTCGACGAATTTTTTCGCTCTTTTGTTTCTACCGAGGGATAAGTGATTCGCGATCTATTTTACAAATCTTTACCGAGATGAAGATTGAATTGCGGAAATCAATTTTTGTTTTTTCAGCGGTTGCGGTTCAGTTGATATTGCTTACGCTTGATTCTGAGGGTTTTTTTATATTAATTCGATACTTGGTACGTGAAACATTCTAGTTAATTTGAGTTAATGAAACGGTACTAACGAATAAATGGAATTCATGTAAAATCGGTTCATATCCAAATTTATAAGATATTTTGAGAGCTAACAGCTGTAGCAAGAGTTATCGACAAGTTGAAAAACTTGCCGAAGGACCTCTAGCTGTTGGGACAATGTATTTACGTTGCGCACACAATCGAATGAAAATTTAAGGAACTGCAACACTTTGTTTTTTCAAATTCCAAGTGACAAACATTACCGTTTTTAACTCAAGCTAATTGTAAATTTTACATCGATTGTATTTTTTCGGTCATGCAAATCTGTTATTCACACGAGGTATCTTAAAAGAGAAATTAAAAGAAATAGAACCTTCAATTCATTGTTGTTTTTTACAAAAATCATGAATACAATTTTGATAGATGTAAAGTGTACATCAATTTTCTAATTGGAATTTATCGCGTTGAGAAAGTTGAAAAAACAAAACGGACGGAAAGAATTAATTTAAGGCTACACAAAATAAATTACCACCTGTTTCTATCACCTTCTTATACTAAATCATTCAATTATTTGATCAAACTTGATCATGACAGCAAGTCACAAATGGTTATAGGTATATCATCCAGAAATAAAAAAAATGCGCGTAATGTCTACAATCGCTAGATTATCTCAATCGCTCCTCAATTAAAAATAAAAAAAAAAATAAATAAAAGAGTATGTTCGCTCAATTAATGCTTAATTACTTAGAGTCGACGGAATTGAAAGTAGAAGCCAGTAATGTCGTCACGCGAAAAGAGTAAAGCAAAAAAAAAGAAAAGAACACGCACACGGAGAATAAACTTTCGTCCAAATTACACTCGAGCGAAAGAGGAAAATAGAGAAAAAAAATTGAAGAGCGTACAACTAGTCGAAGGCAACTCCTCGCGATGTGGCGTGCGCGATAGACATCGACGTCCCGTTCCCTCGTGAGATTCAGCCTTTTCACAATTAAGCGTCGCGCGCGAGCAGCCGGACTTTTGCGCAAAGGGAAAAGCGAGGCTTTCCCCTCGGCCAGCGCATGTGCGTTTCGCGAAGCTAAAAATTAAGGCCAGCGCGTTTAGAAATCCGCGTGCGTGTGTTTGAATCCACGCTCTGCTTCTTCTCTCTTGGCGAATCGCGCGGCGTTCTTCTACTTTTTTTTCTTTTTGCAACCAATGAAGGTTAACCATTATCCAGAGTGTGGAGTAGCCGTCGGTCAAATGGGTAACCGTATTATGCGCGCGCGTATGTACTTAGCTCCCGCGGAGCGTTGCGAAAGACCTCGCACGAGCGCAGGAATATCCGCGCTGCACTTTGCGAAACGAGGATGCGCGCGTCGGTGAGAACGATTGGCTTCGCGTTGATATAACATAACACTCGCTGGAGTTGGCTTACAAAAGGCGTTATGAAAGCCCCCCCCCCCCCCCCGGTGCTTCTGCTCGTTCCCGAGTGCGCGCATATTTCAGCGTGGCGACGATTTTCCAGGGCTGCGACGCAG